AGAGGTTAAGTGATTGCGCGTGAAACCGATCGAATCTCGCGAGGTGGCGTCATGGATGCGCACTTCTGAGAAGTCCAACAATGGGACGAAACGACCGTCCAATGCTTCCAGGTTCTCAATTGACTCATGATCTCAACAATTAAAAATATAGTTATTTGTTTGATTTTAATTTTAATTGTGATGGTAAATAGCAAATGACTCATGATACTTATACTTTTGTTTATTTGATATGAATATGTATAAGAAGCTTCATAATCTAATGTGTTAACAGTGAAGTTTCTAAAAGAATCCTATGGTATATGGATAATAATGGAATGATATGAATGATAAGATATTTATCAGTAAATTGTATGGTTTTAAAATAATGGGTGAATATAGATTTCAGAAATAATATTCTCCTTTATAAACAATTTTACTGTACTGAACAGAACAAGAAGAATCTCATGCAGACGTAAAGGCAAGGACTGGCAATGTAAGGGCAGCATTCTTACAGTCGAATAACATATGGAACTCAAAACAATCATCAACCAATATTAAAGTGAGGATATTCAATATGAACATTAGGACAGTTCTACTGTACAGAGCTGAAACTTGGAGAACTACTACAACCATCATCTAAATAGTATAGGTATTAATAAACAATTGTCTACACAAGATACTCAATGTCCGTTGTTGACCGGGTACCATCAGCAATCGCTTACTGTGGGAGAGAACAAATCAACTTCCAGCTGAAGAGGAAATCATCAAAAGACATTGGAATTGGATAGGATACACGTTATGGAAATCCTGAAACTGTATCACGAGGCAATTACTAACTTGGAATCGTGAACGGAAAAAGAAAAAAAGAGAACCAAAGAATGCATCATACTAGGAATTCGAAGGTAGACATCTTAAGAGTAGATACCAGTTGTAAACAACTGGAAAGTACAGGCGAGGACAGAGTTCGTTGAATAATCGTGGTTGGCGGCCTATGCTCTACGAGGTGATAGGCATAAATAAGAAATGTAAATATGTATTTATATAAATGTTTCATGAAGTGGTCTCAATTTGTGATCAGATTCCCGAAAAAGTTATTTTAGTTGTAAATTCTATCATGTCAGACATATGAGAGAGAAACCATCCAACATAGAATTAAGTAAATTAGTTACATATAATCGTACACTAATGAATATAGTTAAGATTAGTTTGAACGTTTTCATTAGTAAACTTCAATAATTCTTTGTAAAAGTCTTCAACAACCGAGAAAATACTAAAAATATTTTGTCAGTATGGGTCTGTGGAGAATATTAAGTTTTTGATTGAGATCATGAATCGATGGATGTTAGACCATCATTGAAAATCTGGAAACACTGGATGGCTGTTTCATCTTAGTATGGGACTTCTCAGCAGTGCTCACCTAAGACCCCATATGCAGCACTCGAACACAGGACCTTGGTTCTCGCACGCACTGATGATAACAAAGTTGACTTTTGCACAATTGAATTATTTAGATAACAGAGTACGTGTGGTCTATTGTGCATTTTAATCATTTATTCATTATCCAGATGATTATTGATGAAGTGAATTCAGGAAGAAATGAGTCAACTGAAGATTTCGAGAGTATCAAACAATATCTTCATCAACAGAGATGAGGATAGGTGAAATGTACTGTCACAAATTGAAAGTATTTCAAAAGGAATAATAATTGATGTAAATGACATTATGTCAATCACTTTTCTACTACCACAGTTTATGTATAGTTTTTCGCATATTTTCAGTGCAATTCACATACAACAATGAATAACTTCTGATCGTGTAACCAAGTGACATAAAGTCCAATGTCAGTGGATATCGATATCAATTAGACGTGAAATGTTGGAAATCAGAGAGCGTTGGACAACTGTTTTACTCTATTTAGACAATCTTCAGTAATATTTACCGCCCCCCGCAAAAAAAAATATCACAATCTCGAATCGAAACTTAACGCAGATATCAACAACATCTAAAACCTAAATCATCGGATTCCGACACAATAGACTAAATTTTTCACACTGACTTGAAAATCCTGAAGTTAGATTTGTGTCAAGTCAGATCAATGCAGCGTGGTAGATATCTGAACTCTCTTTGCTGTTATTACTTATCCTCTAATTTTTATCGGCTTCAAAATGAGGAATACACACAGACTCTCTAACCGAAATATGATAAGTTTACATCCTTTTAAAGAGCAGGGATTTGATAGAAGCTGTATTTATTACATATAACCACTAAAACAACTTCAGAAATCTCCAGTGCATTTTTAACTAGCTACTGCACTAATATTCATCAACTACTACCAGAATCGTTATTTATTATGATGTAAGAATAACTTTATTCTACGCAACTCTTAAATAATCTGGGATATTTACAACATAGACCGGGTATCTTACCTATTCAAATTCATCAGGTAACTATATGCATACAATCCCAAATCAAAGTCACATGATCATTAATGAATAATTTTGTGAGTTATTGCCCTGAGTTTTAGTGAGAAGCTATGGTCAGTGAAGTTCTGTCATGTTGAGTTCGAGACAAATACTAACCAAAGGCGTTGTCAAATGGTTGTGCAATATCGTGGGTTGATTGTAGTGAGAAATGTAAACAACTGGGTTCTGATTCAATAGTTTATGGGTTGAATGTTCTCTTTGAGACTTGGATGATAAGGGTTCGGTTTCCTGTGAAGCATTGGGTATGCAGCAATGAAGATTACCAAATCAGGATCAAATAAGTATCTAGTGCTTCCTGATGTACAGTGGCTGGCGAACTAATATCAGTTCATAATCTGAACTACCAAATGAAAGTATTATTTCTTCTACCTGTTAAATCTTCTTCATTTACCTTGTGAAGATTAACCCATTTTTCATTGCTCCATAGACTTACTCTATCTAACGAATCATTAAAATGCTAGAAGGATTACATAGTTACATCTGACAGGTGGACAACTACTTCAATCTATAGCCAGTGACAGGACAAACAGGATTTTTAAGTCTCACAGAGAGAACATTACATATAAACGACTAGGTTAACATCCGATAGTCCACATATTTCATTTCATGCTATCACTCTGTTCAGTTTATAACTACGCTTCGACAGACAGATCAAACCCTAATAAATAATAAACATTTAATATTGTTCATAATTATATTCTATACATGATAGTTTAAATTAGGATCCGAACTCTGAACCACTAGATATGGTAATGTGTATATCTCAGAAGATTTCCAAAGTCGAATGCAACATATGTAAACATTTGTTTAAATTTGAACAATTACTTTGACAAAAATTGAGTTTCAAGTAGAAATCCTAAATTCACTTGGTATTGTTTGCTTGAATCTTCCCATTGTGAATTTAAATTTCACCCCATTGCACAAGCAAGTGGTTATCAAGACTCAGTAGCTAGGTGGATAACACGATGGCGTTTGAAGCGGAAGGTGCTGGATTCAAGTCCCAGAGTGAACATCAATCATGGGATAAAGGTACATCCAGCTGGTGAGTCACAAATAGGACGAAACACGCGTCCTGGATTCTACTGCTAGCCCCCATCCATCTTTGCCTCTAAAAATTCTATTTAAAATGAGCTCAGAGACTGGAATTTCAGTAATTCCACCATTTCGCCTGGCAAATTGGTTCAAAACCTAAAACAAATTATGTTAAAAATTGGGCTTTTTAAAACCTCATTCATTCTGTAATAATATTCATATTAAGAATTTCTTAAAAGAAGCTAACACCAGGTAGCTGGATGGAATATTGAAATTACTTTTATTTCAAACTCCGAGATTATAACGTTTACACTTAATTTAAAAGGTTAAGCGTTCGTGATCAAGACTGGAAGTTCTGGGTTCGAGTCCCGCTTGCGGGATCGTGCATACACACTGCTGAGGAGTCCTATACTAGGACGAAACGGTCATTCAATGCTTACAGGTTTTCAAATGATGAGTTAGTTTAGATCAATTCATGAATTCAACTGTGATATCTTTACAATCCTTCTATCCTTAAATGACACTACTACCGTAACCATTCATCTCATACTAATGTTTATTTTAATTCTGAATCATGTTTGCCAATATCTAAGTGCTAAGTTATTTCGATAGTGTAATAAGATGATGAAGATTATCAGAACTATGTGATGATGATATATTAGCGCAATACATTTCGAACAATCTGATCACACTTAATATACTTGTTAAGAATATTTATCTATATAAAGAAAGAAATGGTCAACTAGACTAGAAATGGAAGGTAAGCGGTGACAAAGCTACTAAAGAAAATGATATGAAACCAGTTTGAAACCTCATCACTTCCACATAATAATAATAAGCTAATATTACCAGGGTAAGTTTAAGGTGAGAACAAACTATTTTTTGAATACATAAAGAGGGTTAGGGTTAGGGTGTGGATTTTTGTATGGTTAAGGTTTCAGTTATTCATATCACAGTAATAAATTTCATAAATAAACATAATCTTATATTCGCTTTTTCTCTATTCTCTTCTAACCCCCCTCCCCCCCAATATTTTCTTCTTTACCCACTCTCTCTCTCTCTCACACACACACACATACCCAAGTTATTATTAATCTCTAAAACAAAATTCTTTTCACTTACGCTTTAAATTTATATTGGTTTAAGCATCAAAAATAATTGTTATGTAATATATGAGTGCGTGTGTGTATATGCGTGTTTGACCTGTATTCCCTACTCTTTTGATTCATTTAACTTGATTCTCCCAATTCGTTTATCCAAGGGATAAAAGTTAACTTTTGATCATAATTAGAAAGGGAGGGAAAATCAATTTATGATGTATATACCATTGTATACAACATGTATGTATGTATGTTTGTGTGCATTTTTGTGTAATTACCTGATACATCAAAACCATCATAAAATGAATATAAATAGAGAACTTGTATAGCTTCACTTACCATCTTTTATCAGAGCGAAAACGGGTTTAATAGACTTGAAAGTATAAAAAACAAAACTAAAAGAGATATGTCTTATTCATTTAATTTCTCAACGCCAATCTTCTCAAATGAAGCATCTATTCAATTAAATGGTAAGTTGATTTCAGATCTTTGAACTAATTCTATATGGATTCAATTGATATTTTGATTGAGATTATGAACCGATTGTTGTTAGACCACCATTGAAAATCTAGAAGCACTGAACGGTTGTCTCGTCCTATTGTGAAACTCCTCAGTATTGGGCATCCCCAATTCCGTTCGCGGGATTCGAACCCAAGACCTTCAGTTTCGTGCATAAGCGCCTAACCTAGTGATTTAGTGCCTAACATCAGTCGGTTCATGATCTTAATAAAAAACTTAACAATCTCCGCAACCCCTAAAACTGTCGATTGATTTTGTTTTTACTGGAATCTTCCCATTGACGTTAAGGGCTACGACTGATCAGTCTGTTATTGGTATGTGTACATACTGTGCGTATTGCCTCGATATAGTCTTAAGTTACAAGCATTATATGTAAAGATAGATAGTGACTAGCAGTGGAATCCAGGAAGCGCGTTTTGTCCCATCTGGGACTCGTCAGCTGGATGTACCTGCATCTCAGAGTTGATGTCCACTCTAAGACTCGGATCCAGTACCGTTCGCTTCAAATGCCATCGCGTTATCTACTAAGTTCTGATATCTATAGAGTAAGAAATTCAGATTAAGATGAAATGATATTTTTATAGTTAATTATTATGTACTAAAGGTTAATAGATTGTTAATCTTCTTTTCTTTCTTATGAAATTTAGTAGTTAAGTTTCAACTTCAAATTTTATAGGCCAGAATACGGAGAAAAACATGTACCTATCTTGAGGATACAGATCTTTTATTTGATCAGACTTGTTGTTAGACCACCATTGAAAATATAGAAGCACTGAACGGTTGTCTCGTTCTATTGTGGGACTCCCGCTCGCGGGATTCGAACCCAGGACCTTCGGTTTCGTGCGAAAGCAATTATATATATCATATAAAATATATGTGTACATACAATATGAGTATATTATTCTATCCATCATTCTTTGATATACATTTCTTTTCTTTTGTAGACACTATTCCTACACCATATAACCTTTCTCAGTGTTTATATTTCCACAATAACTTTAATCATTATTCAAACTTTCCCAACTGTTTATTGAATAATTTAAAATTGGACTCATGTACAACGAGTCAAATCTATTGTAATGATAGTGGTTATGAAAGTATTGATAGTTTGAATAGAGTGAATCAGTCTAAACAAAAAATTTCCAAATTAAAATTCTCAATCGATTCTATCTTATCACAATCACCATCAATGTCATCATCATCATCATCATCATCATCATCACCATCATCGTTGCCATTAATCAATAATTCTAATATGAGTAGTATATTTTTTAAAAATAATGAAAATTCTACACCATTAATTAAAACAAATAGAACAATTGAATGTTTTAATCAATATAATGAACAGAATAATCAATTGAGTATGATTGAAAATCAATATTTTCTTGATAATGAACAATTATACCCAATGGATTTATCCATTTTTAATTGTAAATCATCATTAATGATGAAACAATCAATAAAAAATGTGATAAAAACAACTGATGAACAATATAATTGTCGATATTGTGGAAAATCGTATTCACTGAAGTCGTCAATAAGGTAATTCATTTGATTTAGCATATTAAATTTATTATTAGAAAAGGGTTTTTTGTGTGAAGATTTTAGTCATTTAATAATTGAATTTATGAGTTAGTTGAAGTTAGACCACCATGAAGGAACTTGGAAGCACTAGATCGATAAGCACTGGATTCGAATCTCATGGGCCGGGATCATAGATGCTCATTGCTGAGGAGTCCCATATTAAATTTAAACAAATAGTTTTCATAGGTGAGAAAAGAAAAAAAAAGTACTAACTAACAGTAAGTGTTGTCCTAGTTCACAACTATTGAAAATAACAGTACTGAGTTATATTCATATCTAAGTTAACAGAAGTTACTCACTTAATTAAATTACCTTAGAATATTATAGTAATTTCAATAATTGAGATCATGAGTCAATTGAAGTTAAACTACTATGGAAAACCTGGAAGCACTGGACGGCCGTTTCGTATTATTGTGGGATTCCTCGGCTGTGCGCATCTACGATCTTGTCTCACGAGATTTGAATCTGGATTTTATTCAATATTAAATTTTTGGTACAATATAGAATTCTCAGCATATAGTTTTTGATTTCTTGATCGATCCTGACGATAAATATTGAGTAATCACCAATTAGATGTTAGCAGTTCAGTAATCGACATGTGAATAATGTAAATTCTTTTCGATGTATATTGCCAGCAATCCTAATGTCTTCGATTGTGCTCTTTCCTAACTTGTACAACGAAAAGTCGTGAACTTTTCATAAACACACTTGAATTGGTTGTTCAATTAATTGATATAATAATCTGCTAAATCAAATAGAAAACAAAACAGATAACTTGTTTGAATATCTAGATGGCAAGAATAGGTAGCCAAGATATTTAAGTTAACTGCTTATATATTAATTACTTCCTGAATACACTTACTAATTGTCAACGTTAAACAGTGAATAATTTACAAGCCACTGAAAAAGGTTTGTAGTGCGGCGTCGAGTCGTGGTTGACTATGATCACCACTACAGGAAGACTACGTGCCAGTTAACCGATAAGATCCCCGTAGGCCAAATATCAGAAGGCAGTTGATGACTGTAATCGAGATGTATTTGTTAGCGATCTCGTGGTATCGAAAGAATACCGAGATCGTGCCAAAGGAGTACAAGTGTGGTTACTGAGTGTAACCGAATTCGTGCAAGTTCACAATCAACGGAAGAATGTATGTCTTTAGTACAGTTAAACAAACAAGTACAGTAAAACAATCACTGGTACAATTGGTTATAATAATAATTGTTTCCATTAAACCAATCGCGTTCTCTTGATAAAAGTAGGTTACTACAGGTTTTCTGGAGATTGTAATAATTTAATAGTTGAATTCATGAGTTCATTAAAGCTAGATCACCATACTAGGACAAAACAGAAAATCAATGATTCCAGGTTTTCCATGGTAGTCTACTTTTAATTGACTTAATAACTTAACTATTAGATTATAAGCATCTGTTCAATTATTTTATCGAACAAGTAGTATCGTTTGAATATAAAACATAATGAACTTTTATGTATGAACAATGATAAATTTATGCTTTGTTAAGAGATAGTGATAGATTATGATCATTAACCATAGTATATATATATCACTAATCTTTAATGTAACCTACACTCTAATATGTAACACTTACCCGGCTGAGAATGCTGAATGTAATCCATTTGTTGATCAATGATAAAGTTGAGAATAATCTTGATCGAATCTTATAGTTGCTGATATTGAATATTGAATATGCACCAAGAATATGTTAAGTATTGATTATTAAATTATACAATATCAATGTTTTTCATCTTTTTTGTTGTTGTTGTTGTTGTTGTTGTTAACTTTAGATTACATGAAGCAACGCATACATTGCCATTTCATTGTCAAGAATGTGGTAAACGTTTTTCACGTCCATGGCTTCGTGATATACATTATAGAACGCATACAGGTGAAAAACCATATGAATGTATTATATGTGGCCGACGTTTTGCTGATCGTTCAAATATGCGCGCACATCAACGTGTTCATAAAGAACGAGAATAATAGTTGGTAATTTGGTTAATGGAGTCTCTACACACTCTTACAATCAAATTTCGAACTAATGAAATCGGCAAATTGGCACACAGTGGAACGCAACCAAACACTTCGTGTTGACGGTTGGTGGTATTTCAATTTTATTAGGATCTTCCGGATTAAGCCGTGATTATGATTACTTTAAGGAAACTGTTAGTTATATGCATTGTTAATAGTTAATTATGGCACAAACATAGTGACTGGATATGTTTACGCTCTATGCTGACAAACTTCGTCTTTTTGTCGGTTAAATAATGACTCAGTCTTTTAAAGGTTAGTAATTTAAACTAAAAAGATAAACAAGTTTTCATCTCTTAAATATGACTAGAAATGGTGAACTAAGCCTAAACTTTAGATTATTAAGAGTTTCGTTTCATTTTTAAAGATGAAAATCAAAATGATTGAAAGATATCAGTTTCAGTTTGACTTCAGTATATCTTTGATACATATGAAGCTTTTCTGAAAATATCATGATCGGTGGGACTATAATTTATAGACGAACCAATCAGATATAAGATTACCAGTCTAGGGTTTTGGCGCGAAATTCACCCATCCATTTGGTTAAGTAGCGTTTTGACATCATAACCGATGTCAGTTAGTGATAGAAACCATAAATCTAATTCCTAGCCCGAACCATCAACTGTAAATCATAATTCTAATTCCTTACACTGGTTTGCAACCCTTATATAGTCCTAGTTATTAGGTGGACGTTTTCAAGGTCACTTTAGCTTCACTCGAAGGTTGTCCATAAATTATAATCTCACCAAAAAATCTCCTGGAATAATTTGGAATGATAAATTTTCTATCACTTCATAGAAAGGTCTTGCAGTTATTCACACTGTACTCCACTGGATATTCAGTTATTTTCCTTAAATATCAGATTGGTGGGAATCTCTTGGGTAAGCGTTTGTCTATACATACCACCCAGATATTGAAGTTTTTTTTCAGTAGAAAGATTATAAAACTAGAAGCAATACACAAATAGGTCATAGATAAGCTAAATAAATGTATGTATTTATAATGTGTATGAATGTGTTTCTCTTGAGTTTCATATACACTCTAGATGAGATAAATACAGATCCAGAATTCATCAGAAATGAACAAAGGATAAAGATTGAGTTCAATATTTATGAATGAGTTGAAATAAACAAAGATCTAACTGTTATCGTCAGTCAGTCAATCAGTCAGTCAGTCAGTCAGCAACAAAGTAGAACTTCGTACGTACGTACATCAGTTCGAGTTATAGTACAAATGGTACACAAATCCGAGAACGGTCAATGGCCCTATTTAGGGCCCTTTTAAAAATTGATTTACCCAATTGTTTTTGTCTTCCTTTAATTAATCCAAAAGAAAATTTGTTTTCTCTATGGATGGGTGTAATAAATAAGTTTGTAGGTAAATGATATTATATTTAGCTATATGAATAATATCAAACATGGTCTATTCACAACCAATCCTAAATAGATAATGATAGTACTTCTGATGTAAATTTCATTGATATTAAAGATGTCAAAAGTGTTTGAAGTTTGACAATATGTTAACTATTAACATCTTCTATAATCAAAACGTACCAACCCAATGAAATCAGAAGTCTGAAGTGAAGAGATTCGAAGATATATTTGATAGACTATCGATATATCAAGAGGTGACTGTTTTAAACTGGCTAGCAGTTGTAAGAGAAGTTGAGCACAATGCATCAACTCGTGATCTGGTGCGCCTTTAGTTAAGTAAGTCCATTAAAACAAATGTGATCAGCATCAAATGTCGAAGATTTACAGCGCTAGTGATTTTGAGGATTTATTTACCGCTACAATATGATCAGCCACCTAAGAAGAAATACCGGCGAGACTATAATTTATGGACAAACCAATCAGGTATAAGATAATAGGTCTCGAATTTTCACTCATCCATTTGGCTAAATAAAGTTTTGACATTATAGCTGATGTCAGTTCGTGATGAAACCGCTAAATCTAATTCCTAACCCTAATTATCAACTGTAAATCATAATTCTAATTCCTCACACTAATTTATAACCATGATTTGATACCGGCCATTAGATGAACACTCTCATGGTTACTTCAGCGTTGCTCAACGGTCGTCCATGATTTATAGCCTCAGCGAAATGCCATTTTGCTGGTTAGCGGCCTATGTTCCATTGGAAGTAACAGGAGTAAGTAAGCAAGTATGTAAGAAATGCCATTTTAGATACAAATTAAGATTTTATCTAGTTGTGTAATTATAGTCGAAAATTAAGCAATAACCTAAAATTCATTACAGTCATATTGACTAGTTAAGACCCAATATTACAAACAGTGTAATTATCTGAATTGAATTAATCCATTCTTATTTATTTATTTATTTTAACACATAGATAGCGGTACAAGGAGTCACCAAATACATATGCGCCACACAAATCTCATTCAATATGTGTGAGGGCTGTGATACTGCCCGGGTGCCCAAACCGAAGCGGGTGGTTTTCTTAGTGGGCCACTCCCCGAGCCTTCGACCTGAAGGTCTGATCCACAAGGCAGTGGAGCATCGTAAGGAGATGCAGTCCCATGGAAGCCGGTGACCAGCAATTGGTTCATACGCCATTTGTTCCCGCAGGATACTGGAGCCGATGTGCACCATTGGTTTGGAATTCGGTTAAAGCGCCGGACATTCGCTTTTCGTCCTCTCATTTTCGTAAACAACACTCCCGCCACGAGAAGGGAGTGAGTAGGACTTCCCTGGCAGAGGCTATATACGGGTGGCCATGTGAGAGCATTTGGAGAGGGAGAGCGGACTCACCCCACTCTCGGCCGTACCAGGGCATTTGGGGGCGATGAAATAGTGGATTCAAAAGTAGATTAACTGACAATTGTATTGATTTAGATAATGCCTAACTCATCGTATTGTATAATATTGTTCGTTATAATATGATACATTCTGATTTCTCCCAAGTTTGAAGACATTAAGTGTATCATGTCACAATATCATACATCGGTTCTGTGGATAGTGTCTAATTGTGATAGAAGTTAACCTCTTGCAAAGAGATTCGTAAAACCTATAGTATCAAAATATTAGGTCCTTGGAGGTAATCAACAGAAAGTTTTCGATACAGACTTTAGAATAGTTGGTACTCATGAATAAGAGGTATGTGAGACCTTGAGGAGACTAAAGTTCTCCATAGAATTCGGACCGATATCATTCAGTATAACACACAGAGATCATTCCATTAAACTATTAAGATATTCAGTAGGATTGATATGTTCAGATTGGCTGATCAATGAACACTAACCAATGTCGTCTGTAATATATTATTACTGATCGAATTCTGTTGGTCAAGTATGTCATACTTGAATATTTTATTGTATCAAGAAATAATCGGACTAATCGGATTCCAGAAATTCATGTATTATGGCTCATTAATATTGTTCAACACCACCTAGTGATCAATCAATTGTGAATACATCTCAGTTCAACAACAGGTCAGTCACGGCCAGGATGTCCCATTGGTTACATCTCTCACTGTGAAGCTGAGTGACACAGGACCAAATTTGTCATGGAGCATCAATTCCCTGAAGATTACAGGTACGACTTGTTGACGTGTACCAAATAGCACGAAACCCGTGTCCAGAGTTTCCTGTTGACTACCTGCAACCACCATCTTATCTCAACATAGTGCACGCAATGTCGAGTCACCTAGACTAGTGGCCGCATTACAACTTGGTCAATAACATTCGATCTGGACTAAGAAGGATCTGACACACATGACATTGATCACCACCCAGTGATCAATCAATTGTGAAGGTAGATCACTACAATATTGGTCGCTTACTTGAGTTGGCTGATAATACAAAGTAGTTGTTTCCATGATTTATAGTTAACACAGCTAGTTATATCATTACTAAATTATACTATAATTATTGAAACTACTAACCTTTTGAAGTTTATAAAATGCGGCTCTTCTGAAATGAAAACACTCATATACATATTACTAATAATACTAGTCCCAGATCAAGGAAACAACTTTCTAGCTAGATAGCCACAATGACATTAGCTAATAATGCTCAATGACTCATAACTAAAGCAAGAACAATTAATTTAGTACAATAAAACGAGTATAGGGTTGTGGAAATTGTTGAGTTTTTGGTTGAGATCATGAATCAATAAATGTTAGATCGCCATTGAAAACCTGGAAGTATTGAATGACCGTTTTGTCCTAAACTGGGACTCTTTAGCAGTGCGCGCGCGAGATCGAAGGTTGTGGGTTCGAATCTCGCAGGCAGAATCATCGGGGCGCACTGATGAGAAGTCCCATTCAGTGGGATGAAACAGCTGTCCAAAATAAAATGAATTTATTGTATTCCGCAGTTCCTTATCAGTTGCTTACAACCTAAACATAATAGGAAAGATAGACAGTGGCTAGCAGTGGAATCCACGACGCGCGTTATGTCCTATTTTGATACTCGTCAGCTGGATGTACCTTTATCTCAGAGTTAACATTCACTCTAGGGCTTGAATCCAGTACCGTCCGCTTCAAACCCTATCACGTTATCCATTTAGCTACTGAAAGCTGATAGCCAATTGTTTGTGCAATTAATCTTAAAAAAGAAATCAGTATACATATTTTATGTATCATAATTTCGGAAGAGTTCTCACCAATGCAGATTAATGAAAAGGACAATAAATATGAGAAAATGACAAGAGGTGTTCATATGTTAATCAATGTGGATTTTCATAAGTATATTTATTTATTTATTTCAACGCATAAACATTGGTACAAGGAGACACCGAATACATATGGGTCACACAAGTCACTTGATTTGTGTGGGCTGTGATACTACCTGGGAGCCCAGACCGAAGCAGGTAGTTTTATTAGGAGGTCATACCCATAGCCTTCGACCTACAGGTCTGATCCATTAGACAGTGGAGCAACGTCAGGAGATGTAGTTCCATGGTAGCCGGTGACCAATAATTGGTTCATA